GGGGGGGTGGGTACCCTAACAGCAAACCTTGAGCCGCTACAGGTGAAACAGTTTTGTTACAAGAAAACCCCGTGCACACTGCGTTGAACACAACAAGTTTCCTTTTCCTAAACTGTCACCAGCACGCAACACCCTTTTTGCGCGCGATGGCTCAAACTCAGGCGTCCTTACGCCGTTCCCTTTGCCCATCTTGGGCTTCCTTCCCCCCTCAGGAATCCGGACGCGAAACGCATCACGGATCCTTATTGAGAGGGTCAGTTTGGAGTGAGGTCTGCCGTGATCATTTTCTGTGCTACGCCTTTGGCAGTCTCTCGCGCCTCCCATATGTAGGTTTGGAAGCTGTCTGAAGCCCATCGTCCCCAGCGCTTCACTAGGGAGGTGTCTTGGTACTGTGCCCACAGGGCACTTGCCCCACCGAACCTCAGCGAGTGAGCGCCCAGGTCCCCTTCCGGGAGTCCCAGACCTTTGGCTGCCCTGACGGATTTCACAACACACACCTTTTCCGCAGTGCGAAAGTGGTTTCTGACCTGTCCCCGATTGTAGACGTCTGTCTTGGATCCTCGCACCAGAAGGGTGACTTCGTCAACTTCGCTGATCCGGTTCAGCGCCACGGCATTGCCATTGAGCTTCAAGGTGACGTCGGACCCACGCAGGCCTCTTCTGGGATCTTGGTACCCGACATCAAGGTATTCCGAAGCCCGAAGTAGGAAGAAAAATCCCAAGGTGAGGGCGCCCCAAAGGAGGCTAGCTTCCTCGGCCCTTCCATACTGCAGATGTTCCCCAAGCCATTTCAACATGTCTGGAGTCACGGGGTCGCAACCCGGCCAGGGCAAGCGGGATCCTTGGCGTGTGCACCAAGAGATCTGGGTATCCCAACGTCAAGTGCATGCTGCGTATGGCGGAAAGTCGCAGTTTGATGGCGCCCGGTGCTTTGGCTTCATTGGAGGCACAGTGGACCAGGAAGTCGATGACCAGTTGTTCCTCTTGACGGCTATAGGCCGGAACATGTCTGACTGGGTCTTCACCCCTTCGTTTGCAGAAGAGTGACCACCAGCCCCATTGCGACTGGTAGCTGGCGGCTGTGCTCTGCGAGTACCTCGAAAGTAACAGTGAGAATCCTTCTTGGTCGAATTCGTGCCGTCCTTGAACTTGAGCAAACCTAAAGCTCTTTCCCGCGGGGTGCCTTCTGGCAGCAGCCCTTGGTCCACCCAGGAAACGCACGTTGGGTTCTTGCACGACTCTTCTACCTTTCTTGGGGGGGCTGAATCTCACTTTCTTTCTGGTTCCGCCGACTTTGGTGGCCTCCAAATAGACCTTTGCCGATCCTCCTGGGTGGTTTGACCCCCATTTGGAAAGGAGTCTTCTGATGGCCAAAGCCATGGCTAGTATAAATGCCAGCAGTAGGCTGTCAAAAATCATTCCTGAAGCCTGATCGAGATCCCACTCAGCTTCAAGGGCGCAAAAATCATTCCTGAAGCCTGATCGAGATCCCACTCGGCTTCAAGGGCGTCTCCAGGACTCCTCTTCAGTCCTTGGTCAAAATTGCTGAGGTTCGGGGCGGAAAGACCTCCGGCCAAGGAGCTCCCCTCGGCAGTCTGGTGCGCGATGGCGTGATTGCGGTCACGCTCAGCGTCGTCTTTGGTATGCCCTTGTCCCTCGCGCTTCCGCTGCTTCTTGATCTTCTTACGGCTGGCGGTGTCTGGCGCCCGCTTGTTCCAATTGCCCTCTCGTCGAGCCTCATTCTGGAGGTCCGCTCTGAAGGTTCGAAGGTCTTTTTGGGCTGCATCATGAAGCGCTTTGTCCAACACCTTACCGGCTTCTGCAAGATCAACATCCAACAAGGGTCCTGTTCCTGGTCCCTTCTCTGCTCGACTCCAGGTGTCGACCTCCTGTCGGTGCTGAGTCGCTCTTTCTCGTGCCCTTTGGGCTCTTCTGGCAACCCAGACGGATCTCCCCGCCTCAATCTCTTGCTTCAGTCGGTGATCAGAAACAAGCGGAACCCCAGTCCTTGGACCGACGGGGTTCGCGAGCTCAAGTCGTAACATCTGATCGTTGAGGCCTGCCCGGTAGTCGGTTTCTGCCTCAGTGTAGTGCTTGACCCTTTGGGCTCGCTCTTCGGCTTTGGCTTCAGCCTCCGTCTTACTCTTGAGTCTTGCCTCGGGCGAACTGGTTGAGACGCTCCACGAACTCCGACTTAACCTGAGAGGCTGCTGGGGCTTGCTGGACAGCTTCTTGGAGACATGCCCAGTTGGCGGCGTCGGCGTCGGCCACAGCTTTGAGAAGATGCAGGTGCACATCCCCGAACTTGACCTTTCGCCTTCGAGGCCTGGGTAAGTCTCCTTCGGTGATCATTTCAAGATCCTTAGGTGGAAGGTATTCGATTCCCTTGGCATCTCCAGGGGGCGGTGGCGCATTGGGCACACCCTCTGCTGCTGGTGCTCCTCCTGGGGTCTCTGTTGCACTGGGGACGTCGACACTCTCTTCAACCTTCGTGGGTATCACTTCTTCGCTCTTTGGAAGAGCTGCGGTCGTTTCGGCTTTGGGCTGAGCCCTTCGGTCAGCCCTTCAGTCTTCTCTTGTTTAGGTTCTACAAGTTCTGTATAGACGCTCCTGCTGGGATGGCCTGGGCGATTTCCACCTCAGAGTCAGTGCCCCCCCAATCAACTTCCATTTCTCCCTCTGCTTCCCCGGCGAAACGCGCCTCGGGTCGCGAGGTCCACAGCAAGGCCATCTTCGAAGTTCTCGGGTAAGTTGCTCCCGAGGCCTTTGGCGACGTCTAGGATCTCTTCGGTACTTGGATGTGCGGTTGGGGTTGTAAGTAGTTAGCCTCGTTGTCCAGCTTACTAACCGAATATAAGTAGACTATAACTTAGGTATAAGCTGGTTGCAAATGTGGTAACTAACTTGCAACCGTGTTAAGTTCGCCTCTATGCTGCCTATGTGCACTTGTGTTCCTGTCTGTACTTACTAAGATGATATAACCACTTAGTAAGTCCAACGCGAAGATAGCGAACATATGATCTACTTAATGTGAACTTACTATCTTAAGATATGTAAGTTCGATATATGTTTTAGTTGAGGTTATCCAACTTAGTATCTATGTTTATAAGTTCGACCGGTCGAACTTAGTCGAACTTAGTGTCCGTTTGTCCCGCTGTGCAGCCTGGTGATATTTGGGATCAGCAGTATGCACCTGATGGGGCAGGTGATTAAGCGGAGTATTAAAATCACCACACACTATGATTTGATGTCTCTGGGGCAAGCGCTCAAGACAATGCTGCAGGAGTGTCCATATGTGTTGCCTCTTCGAGAGAATCTGTCGGGTCCCATGCGTTGTGGACCAGGCCTGTTGGTATACGATCACAAAGTCCTGTGGCCCGGAAAGATTCAATCGTACCTGCAATAGTCGGCCATGAGCATGGTGAGCTACTGAGATCTGATCATGTCGAACAATTGCCGTGCGAATCATGAACAAGATCGACGCGAATCGATCGGCAGAGTGCACGATGTGCCAGCGCTTGCTGCTCCATTCATTGGTCATCGACCATCCTGATTCCTGCACGGCAATGACGTCGTATGGACTCGTATCGCACCAGGTTAACCACGAATGATATTCGAGCATTCGTGAGGCATTCCACTGAAAAACCCGAAGCCGTCCCATCCCGGGGGAATTCGGTGTATGTGCAGGAGTTTTCATTTTAATGGTGGGGGTTCTGGCATAAATGTGCTGTTTGATTCGAAATGGGATTTGGTGAGAGTAAATCGGTTTGCCCTTAAAGGTGGCATGTCCTTCCCTGAGAGCTCTAGCACAGGCTCGGGTGTATGCTCGCTTTAGTCTATTGCATCGTGAGCGTGACTCAATAGGCCCGAGGCCCGACGACGCCCAAGCCTCATGGCATTTCGCAGGAGTGCCAGAAGGTGCAGGTGCAAAGCTGCTCCCACCCATCCCTGAGGCCAGATGGGTAACCCTCGCGCCGAATCCTCGGATGGTTCTATCAATGCCAAAAATGACTAGAGGATTCTCCGGACTTGGGACCGGACTACTCAGGAGTACAAGAAAAAGCGCAATCGAAGGCCAAAATGGCAGCGTGGAGGTGGCAATCGAATCTAGTGCTCAACAAGAACAAAACGAAACATGGCGTCGTTTTGCCGGGTCCGTGATCACGCGCTACTCTTGATCTGAGATGGCGCTTTTGAGGAAGATTATTAGAATACATATTTCATAAATCCTGAGGAATGAACGACCCTGCAATCTTCTCCCCAAAAGTCCTGAACCCGGCCAAGTTCGTAGCATAACAGTGTATTATCTTGCACAGTGGACTTACCCTTCATCACGCTTTATTTTGCGGGAAAAGAGCATGAACCTGAACGAACGGCGATAATAGTCTTCAACCGAACTGTCCGAAAGTGATCAGTGCACTGCTTTGGTCAGAGCAACGACTTTGCTGAAACAAAATGTGTTTACACAGTCATTGAATGCACTTCTCTGCAGTCCTTGCGGATTTGTCTCACCCAAACAGCTGGTGGTGCAGTACCAGTACCACCTTGCAGGGAGGAGGTATGGATGCTTGTATTATTTTTATCTATCAACTTCGTGATTGTCCAGATATATATATATATACATATAAATCTCAACAAGTTTATTCAACCTCCATCCACCTCCTCTTTCGAACAGCGTGTGCAAAACAGAACCAAACACGAAAGAGAACCTGTTTCTGAAACACCGTCCTGATGTTGGCAAAGGAATATTCTGGAGCTCATGGGCAATCAGCAGCTTCATATGATAAGACGAGGGGATGACAGCCCATTTCCGGTCTGTGCCGGTGAAGATGGGCGGTAAACCAAATGTGATGGCATCCTTGTCGATGACCCCGCCCACGTTTTTCTCCGCAATCATTTTTGCACCTTCGTCAGTCTCAACATTCTTCACCAAAGAGAAGCCTTGCTTGGCGATGTTCTCCAGGTGAGCCCTGGCCGCTGCATTTTCCACACACGAAGGCAGCCCGGGACATCGCACAACGGCAAAGGGGTCGAAGGTATCTTTCTTCCGAATGAGGCTCTCCAAAGCCTGCTTGGTGGTGTAAATGTCGCCGCCGAAGTAGTTGTAGAACATCTCTGCTAAGTCTGCGTCCATACCCCAATCATCCTGCAGCATCTTGATCATGTCTGACTCTGGCACTTCGCCGATGAGAATGATGTTGCCGATGTCCCTGAGGTCTAACCCTGCAGCTTGCAGGCGGAAGGGATACCCAAACTCTGAGGAGATGAGGACTACGCTCGACAGCTTGTCTTGCTTTGTCCATTGTGTCATCGCGGCCAAAGCTGACTTCGCTTCGCGCCTCTCCCCACCATCCTGTCCATTTGTCAAGCCGGGTAGTGCAAGGTTTGCCTCGTCCACCACAATTGCAGGTTTTTTGGATGTTCTGCCCACGATCCGTAGAAATTCATCCAGCGCAAACCTAACCCTTTTCCTTTTGTCTGCAGCCAGACTAACAACATCCCTCACATTCATGGCGATGGTAGCCGCTGCCTGACCGAGGTCTCGAAAAACCGCAAAAGCTGCAGCCAAAATCGCCGAAAGTGCAGGAATGAATGGCTTGAACTCTTCTTCAGTGGTCATGTTCTCCACGGTACTGTTAGCA